TTGTTTTTTCACTTTGATTTTGTGGTTTTTATCTTCTTAATCCTACTACTTTATTTACAGTATTTATTCCTCCCTATGTAGTAAATATTTAACAAAATTAAAAATTAACATTACAAGTTGTGAGAACAACAAAAATGGATCATGTCCAAGTCTTCTATTATTAAATGCTTTTTGAAAGTCCTTGCTGAGAAGCACAATTATTCATCATGTCCAGACCACTGACTCAACATACAGCTGACAACTGTCAAGACCAAAATAAATGCACTTTAAGTAATAATCTTACATTCACAAAAGGTACATGTTCTAACAAAAACAATAAAGAAAAATGAATGTTCTTATGGAGTCAGACACCTTATCTTTGCTAAGTCTATTGGATTCTGCTTTTCTAAATATTGTGTACAAATCCACACAGTAAACATGCTAGTCGAAAATATAAACTGGCTGCTTATTTTTCTCCACAGTCACTTCAGACATAATAGTAAGTTAAGAAAGTCCAAAATCAAAATGCAGAAAATTACCTTATTACATCTGGGTAAAAATAAAGTTTTGTTTGTTTTTAATAATACTCTCAGTGAGACTGTTTTTACACAAATCCAAAATCTTGTTATTTTAAAGATGCTGTAAACATTGACTATTGGTGCAAATACACCACAAAACTGAAAAAGAATGTACACAAACCTGTGACATGCACTTTTACAGATTTTTTTCTCTTTTCAAATCATTGTTTTGTTAGAATAATAATTAGATTTGTAACTCTTTCCTCAGATAGAGATCAGGCATAGTGTTCCAGGGAAAAGTAAAGGAGGTTTTATGATCTTCTACACCTTATACTTTAGAGAAAGACTGTTAAAAAATTTATGGCTGCAATATAAAACTAAAATCTATAGAAAAAATTTACATGAGTATCTTCATCCATGCATCCATCCATTGCCTATTTTCTTTATCCTTTCATTTTTTAACTCAAGTAGAACTATACATCTTCCTTTAAGTTACTACTTCACTGATTAAAATAATGCCTTTTGTTCTTACAGTTTGTAATACTGCTTGTGGAAATAGGAGATTTCTTGCGATTATTAATGGCTTAGGTTTACATAGCTGTGTAAAATTTCAGATTTCTTCTGATAATGTGTAGATTTCTTTTTAAATTGTTTCACGGGTATTGAATTCTTGAGAAATACAACTCATATGAAGTTAACCTACTGCATTGTTTTCATCAACTTTTTCATTCTGCAGAGCATAAAACATGTTTTCAAGAAAATTACAGGGCACCAATTGCAAGTGAACATTGAATACTTAATTCAGCAATTCTTCAGAAGTTCAATGCAGTAGTTGTATCCATGATGCTTTTTATGGATCCGGACTTATATGTGCTGAGAAATTTCACAGTAATTCCTGCAATGAAGACCTTTGCATTTCAGACCCTTACTGAAATATTTTTTGCTTTACTTTCTGATTGACACTCGTAGTTACTGCTCCTTAACACCATTTTCCTGATGGGTACATATGTATTCACACAGTAAAGAAGCAAAATTAATTTCCTGATATGAAATTTCGCTAAAGCAATGGTTGTTGCCCTGTCAAAACCCCATGTTTATCTATGAATTTTCTGAACTTCAATAACATGAATAAACCTGATGATTGCATTTTTATTTGTTATGAGTTTTAAAGATTGAATGAGAGAAATCAATTTAGCAAGGCATTTCAAACGTTTAATCTGTATTTATTCTTTCTGAACACTGTAGAAGTTTTTAAACATGGTTCTAAGTTTTTTGTGGAGAGTTTGAAATATGTATGCAGAAAGATGTTTGGCATCTAATGGTTTTCTAACAACTGTTTAGAGATTCAAATAGCTAGATTTCAATTTGCACTCAGTTTTGTGGCAAAAAAAAGAGAGAAGCTATATTTGTACTTTTATCATATTGCCTTCAAACCCAAAATTTCCTTTTGAGTAATTCCCACAGAACAACTTTTGCTTTATTTTTAGGAAAGATTCAATGTGCATCAGCAGGAAAGCGATGACAGAAGTTTCATTTTCTGCAAGTATAGCCTTCACTTGGTAGTGTGCTGAAAATGAAGGAATTTGCTTCTTCATCTTCATAAATGTCCATCTATTCCTTCAAAACTAGCAAAACCAAAAGCAAGTTACTTCAGGCATGTGGGAATTGCCAATGAGTTTGATCATAGTGGGAAATAGAGCTATACTTGCCCAAAACATCATCCTCCTAATTTATTTAAAAATGAGATTAATAGACACAAAAAGAATTTTAAAAGTACATTAGACTGACACTGTATGCAAATATAGATCACCTTGCTGAAATGGCAGTTAAGATTTTTCTTCTTATGTACCTGATATCTGAATGTTTTAGGACAGCTGAAGATTTAAATTAGGAACATAGCCATATATGAATTGCAGATATCCATGATGCTATTGCCCAAAGACAGAATCAAGTAACAGGAAACAGGTTGGACTTTCTTTTTTTCATGGCTAGAATGTGAGGCAGCTATCATGCTATGAAACTAGGAAGGAATAGCAAAGCTGTCACTTGGAAGGGAAGTTTCTTTTGAACATGGGAATGTTCCTGAGAATGATAATTGCCATTCTGGCCTTAAATCAATAAAGCACTCAGAGCAACTAAACTCAAAACTTTTGTTTACAGTGAAGTATTTGTTTAATTGGGGCTTCAGCAGGTGGCACTATTCATTCAGGATAGTTTAGTGGGAAATTACATCGTTTTGATTCTTGTTTTCATTCAGTGAGAATTTGTAAAGTTAAAAGGAGATTCTCAGCTGGTGAGACTGGCAGAGCACCATTAACTAGGGCTATGACACAAACTGTCAAAGGGTGTGCTTGGTTTTGATTTTGGAAATTGGCTGGATTCCATACTAAAATCAAAGTGCTGAACCTGGATATCTCATCTCTGAAACAACCTTCCATTCCTAGTTTTAAGGGAAAAAACCCACATTTTAAAAAGACATAGAAACTCCTCTTATAAAGTATATAATATTTAGGAGTGTGTCAATAGAAAAAATATTTTAATAACCATGGAATTTTCTGTTCAAAATATCATTAACCCTAAATAGTTAGGTTTGTGTCCTGGAATTAATGTTATAGTTACTACATTTCTTTTTAAAGCCCTTGTGTTTGCAATAGTTATGTATTTTTATATGTTCTCATATTATATTAATGTTTATCTAACCTTTTATAAGTATCTGTACACTGTAATTATGAAGTCATTGTTTATATACAACCTGCCCTCACTTCTAGAAAAGAAATTTTTAAGATTCACCTATATATAACAGAATTGTGTGAAACAGAAATAAAAGTGTGAAAATATAATTGGAAAAAAATAGTGTTTGCTACATTAAAAAGGATTAGGTTTTTTATTATTATTTTATATAAATATGGGGTTTGGGTGTGCTATTGCACTTCTTGCACTTGTGTGTCTTTTAATATTAATAATCTCTGCATATACTTACTAATTCATCTGAAGAAGCAGCTTAAAATACATTTCTTCATTTGAGCTAACACAACATGGATCAAAATAGAGACATTTAGTATATTGACCTAATATTGAAATTTTGCATGAGTGCTTTCTAACTCAGTAATTGCAATGTCTTTGTAAAGTATATGGCACTGTATTGATTCAGAGCCCATCACTTGTGTCTAGTCTGGCATTTGAGCCTGCTGATAACACTGACATCTACAGCAGGTAAAAAGCATTAGAAAATATATGGTTTCCTTCTGGTTTCTCATTTCTTGGTCTCTTGATAAGTATTTTAGATATGTGCATTTCTGTACTGTCTTGAGACACAGAGGACTGTTTACTTTGCAAAGCAGTTTGTTAAAAAATGTTCTCATTTATTAAGATTGCTAGATTGACATGATACTAAATAGAAAAGTTTTGTTTAAGATCCACTGCGGAGAATAACTCTGGAATTTTATTTAATGCTTGAAATACAGCATTATAACATTAAAAGAAAATTGTGAAGTCATTTTCTGAGGATTTTATGCATATTCAGTTAAGCTTTTCAATCCATTATTTGAGGTAAAATATGCACAGTTATTACTGTCTAAAAAAACTTGTCATCTTTTTATTACTTCATTAGCACAATTAGGTTAATGTCATCATTCTCACATGAATTTGTGTTTTAAATGTATACAGTTTATAGCATTCTATAGGGTGGTCACCATTTCCTTGGCAACAGACTGCCTACTTATAGACAGGTAAAAGATTTCTGCATATGCCATATTTTGTATAGCAGCAATGAAATAATTTAAAATAAATTATCTTTTTGAATTTGTGCCATTGAATACAAGAGAAAATATGTTTGTGAATCTAAAAATTAGATGATTCTAGAAGCGGATTTTAAAGAAGTTGAAGGAAAAAAAAATAATTACTACAGCGTCTTTAAGAAGCATGAATTGGGACTCTTATTTTTCAGTCTATTATCAGATGTCTTCTGCTCAGGTTTCACTAGGTTTTCTCTGATACTTTATAAGAAGCCTGTGAATGTTTTTTGAAAAAATTCTCAGAAGACTTTGTAATCTGACATACATTGATCTGTGCAAATTCTTTTGTGTTGCTCTTTTCATTTTCTTGAATGTCACTTAGTATAGTCAGATCAATAGTGAAATAAATGAGTAAATTGGAATATATTTTAGAAAAGAGAAAATTATAGCTAAGTTCAAAATACGAGAAATATGAGAAAGTTCTGCCTCTAATATTAAAATCCAAATGACAGTTCCTTATAAATAGATTTGTGTGTCTGTTGTAGTGTCTGTTGAAGTATGCCTTAAAAGTACATTTTAGAAATTTTTCATCACAATTGGATTTTCAGACCAAAGTTGTCTTGTCATGAGTGAGTAAAAAATTTCATTCATAAAATGATATTAATTTATATATTTGTATTCAGCATTTTATATCAATCTTATCTGAACAGAGATACATCATAGAGAAATGTATACAGAAAGAAATCATGCTATTTACAGAGTCAAGGAATCATTAATAGTTGAGTACAGTAAATGGCACTTAGTCCTCCACACTTACAGTTCCAGAAAGATGATTATCCACAGTGCAGAACTCCTTCTCAATACCTAAGGAAGAAATAAGGTTTGAGGAGACTAAATGAATCGAAGTTCCTCACAACTGAACCAAAAGAGTTGCTACTTAGCTATTCTCTTCAAAGAAATGCAACCAGAAATGGGAAACAAACTGGAAAATAGATTCTTTGATAGTGGGAGTCAGGAATTCTGTAGATTGCCAGATTCTGGAGTAAGAGGTACCCAATGCAAGTGTTGTAAAAATGTGATCTTTCATCACTGTATGTAATAATTTGCTGTTAAACAAACACCTGAATTTGCATTTTGCTTCCACTTGGCTTATGTTAAAAATTATGTCAAGATAAATGGCCATTCTTTCCCAAAGATCAAATATTAGGAATAAAATTGTCTGGAAAAGTTCCGTGGGAGAAAATATGAAACCAAGATCCTGCAGAAAGGCTTACACTTCTTGCAATACTGAAGCTTTCCCTAATAATGGAGGATTTCTGTATCTTACTGCCATTTTGGTTTCTGGGGTTTTTTTCTTAGGGAAGCCTAGCTGTTCTGGGAGTTACCATCACCCTGGGCTTTCTGCTTACATAAAGTCTCCATGCAGTTCCATAATAGGGAAAGGGACTGCAGGAAAATTCCCCCTAGCCTGAAATAGAAGGTGCCCTTCTGCTGGACTGGAAGTCTCATCTCAAGCTTTGTTTTTTGTTTCCTAAAAATGATGCAGACTTTTTCTCACTAAAGATTTTTTGATAATGAAAAGTACTTGTATTTTGTGCTACTGTTGCTGCATGTACCAGTCATACATTTTACTGTAGCTATCTTGCAGTTATCTCTAGCTAGCCATCCTGACACCAAAAACTGCTGTTATATTATAGTTCTTACTGGCCTACGAATATAGCATGTAACTCTTGAGTTTCTCATTGGACTACAGTGTCATAAAAGTGAAAAAAAAAAATTGAAATAGTTAAAATTACCTATATAGACTTTAACTGTCTTCTTTCCTTTTTTTTTTTGTTAGTTTTCTCTTGCTTTCATACCCGTTGGAAGAAACAGATAAACTTCAAGTTCATGGAAACTTGAACTTTTTTTCATGTGAAGGGACAACAGAAAAAACAGATTACAGTTTGATACTGGATGTTAAGAAATTTGAAGCCTTTCCTTGGTCAATAGCACACCAAGAACAAGTCTTCATTCTGTGTGTCACAGCATGACAAGAATAAGTCAGTTTCCCTGTCTCTCAATTCAGACTAACATTACAACTGCATTTTCTGCCTACATGTTAGAAGTGCTTTAAAGACAAATAAAAACCCTATAAAGTATTTTTATATATTTATATAAAGTATCAAAGTACGTTTTAATTTTTTTTGTTGAGAAATGATAAAATACTTTAATATGAATTCCATTTTAAGTAGTAAAATAATTTACATAATTAATTTTGGCTGAGGAAGAACATAATACTCTAGATGCAAAACATTTAGATATCCATTTAGTGCAGTAAGAATTTCTATTATCCTGTCACTCACAGAATTTAAATCAGGATCAGGACCTTAGAACTCATTAACTGCTATAAATAAACATATTATAATCACATACTTTTCTTTTGAGGATGAGATTATTTTCACCTGTTTAAGGACATAGACCTACAGTCAGTAACCACATTCCTTTTCCCCTAATGTAACTTTTTCTATAAAATCATCTACTATTCGATCTCAATGACTGTTGCTAGACATTATAATAACATTGAAACTTTTGTGAAAATGAACAAGTTTTTTCTCCCAATAAAAAAAAACCCCTTTGTTTTAGATTTTTACTCTTCTGACTTCTACCTGTATTTCATAAAGGTAGACATGTTACCTAAAAAACACTAATACTGCAGTTAACTTCAGGTGATATGAATCACAACCCTGTTTTCTTCACTCATATTTAATATATCAATGTATTTTCTTACTATTTCAATGCAAATATTTAGGAAAACTTAACAGGCACTAGTGTACCCTAAGTTTTAGAAAAGAGTTTCCACTCTCTACAGTTTTCCCTTTTTCTAAGTCTTCAAAAGAGTAATAGTTCAACCATGCTTCCCCTATTAGCTTTCCCCCTCCCAGGTGCTGGAAAAAAAGCAGAGTATTTTCATCTGAACTATCAGTGTCCTTTCCATTGTTTGATATTCCTCTTCTAAATCATGTTCTTTGGAAGGACTTTTGGAGCAAATAGGTTTTCTATCCTCTGAAGAAATCCACTAAACCTCCTATACTGGTAAGATTTTATGAGATTTCTCTTGGCTCGTGATGGTTCTTCAGCTTTGAAGTGTGACATTTGCAATTGATCTTCTATTCACTAGCATTTCACCTGTGTGTGGAATAGAGTTGAAGCAGGGGTAATTGAGGAATCAAAGTGGGAGCAAACAGGCAGGGGAGTATTTTGTCTCAGCCATCCTCCACTGTTATGTTGCCCCTCTAACCTTCCCAACAGCAATCCTCTCTTCCTTCTCAGTCTATCCAATTTCTCCAGTCCTCCTTTAAAAATATCTTCCTGCTTAAAATACTAATCTTACCAACATTTCTCACAAAAAAAAATTACGTAATAAAGATTTTCTACAGGATGCTAACTGTGTATCTTCACTGGGCTGGCTTTATGTAAGCACTGTTTTGCAAACCAGCTTACCCCTATGTGCTCAGTGGCAAGTACTTGGAAGTAGAAATAAGCCACAGTCCACTTAACAAGGAAGTGAGACTCATTTCTTGAGTCAGTTTCATACATGTTTTTGATAAGTGCTCTGAAAAATACTCCATGTGTTATCCTGCAAAGCCAGCCCTCTATCTAGATAATGCAAAAATCACAACCACTATAAAAACCCCATAAAATATGAATATGTAGGGTTATGACCTGTAGGGTTTTTTGTGCTGTAAATAACAAAGGCTTTTTTTTTTTTTTGCAATAATTCATGTTATATCAAAGCATAGCAGGAGTACTGTAATTTTAAAATATGTAGGATTTAAAGAAGCATCATAATTTTCACTGAAGTGAGAAATTGCTTTGTTGCAAAAATCAGTTCTGGGATAAACTTATATTGTAAAACATCTTTTGTAAAAAAAAATAAATATTGCTAATTTTAGTAGCTAATATTCCCAGTAGCTCATCAATTAAATTTTATTCATGACTGCTCCACAAATTGATCAAATTTAACTTAGCTGAGACATTAAACCAATGTCATATCGCTGTCTTTTACTGTTGCTGATTTTTCTGTAGTAGCAAGTACAAAGATAAAGCTTTAATCTTGGTAAATCAGTACTGTATACTTGGTTTAGACAAGTGTCTCCACCACAAGAACCAAGAACACAAGAGATGTAAACAACAGTTGCATTTACTATATTCATACTACTTAACTAAAAAGAGTTTTATTGTTTCTTATAATATAGTTATGCAAATTAATAAAGAATGGATAACATTTTAAAAAGATGTCATAACCTGAAAGTAACAGTATTTACCCCTTTTGAAAGTCTGAATTGCTGTTTTTGTTGTTGCTGCTCTGTTCTGTTATAAAACACTTTCTAAAGCTTCTATTCTGCTGAAAGGATAAAATTATAGTATAATTAACAGCTTTGGGGGAAAAAATTACTATCTGCTTTCATTTCTCACAACCCAGGAGAAAAAGGTGGCAAACCATTTTTTAATGCTTTTTGTGAAATTGATGTTGCTCTGCCACAAGGCATTTCTTTATCATAACATGAAATTAAAACAAAAGAGGTGAAACTTTAATTCATTTTGGAATTGTATTGAATTGTTAAAACAATGCAAGTGATCCATTCTTTCTCCAACCATTGCAGTGTTAGGGTGAGCTACTATCTGGTGTCCCATCCTGCCCCAGCTTATTAATAATGTCCCAGAGCACTACATCTTACTTGTGGAAGATTTATTGAATAAAAAAACAAAAACAACAAAAAAATACCACCAAAAAAAAAAGACAAAACTTGTAAACATTCCCCTCTCATGTAAAGCTTAGGTGTATATTAGCAAAGGGATTCTTCTTTGCTATCAATGGGCAGAAAACTGACAAAGTATTCCCAGCTTTCTTCAGTCTTCCCTTTCCTCCATTTGTAACTCTAGGTTATTAATAACCTGGTTTCTGTGGGAAAAGTACTAGCAATGAACACCTGCCAGAAGGACAATCCCAAATTACCTTGTTAGACTCTAATATCAACCTAAAATTAATTTAGATCTTGGACACTTAATAAATCTCCCTTTCAAACCATCTGTTTGTTGCTCCCAAACAACTCAGGGTATGCCTGCACTGCAAAAATAGAGGTCCCAAACCATTTAACCTAGAAGAGCTTTAGTGAAGAGCTTTAGGCAGGGTTATATAGTTCTTTTTTCTCAAAAGCTGGTACAAGAATTTACTGAAAACTCTGGCTCTATAATATCATCCCTGAAACTGGTTGAAATTTGAATGTAAAATGGTTTACATTCCTTCTTCACTGCCCCACATCAGTGAGGACTAGTTAGTTTTTAAACACTGACAGTTTTCGATTGCTGGGGAAACTTTATCATCCAATACTGATTTTAATAATGCTGTGCTACTTGTAATCCACAGTGTTTTATCCAAACCTTTGCCTTCACCCGTTTCAAAATCACAACAAAGTGACTTGCATTCTCACTCTAAGATTAATATTTCAGGAATACACATTCCTTCATCTAGCTTTTGACAAGAATAGTCCATTGATTATTTCCTATGTATGTATATATATACTCATATACAAATATTTACATATATATGCACATCTTTTAAATATGAGTATATGTTCAAAAATTGATATTAAAATTGTTTATGCATTATGTGCACTTTTTTATTCTTTCCCTTGTTGAGAGCTCCTTTATCTAAGTGATTTGACCCCTTTCTTTAACTATGGAGTTAAAGTTTCTGTGGAGAGCAGAAATTGCAGCTATGATGAACCGTGTAATAAATCTCATTTGTGTACTCAATTCTCCTCTGCAGAAGAGACAATGCATAACTTGGAACTGAACATCCTCAGGGACCACTGACATTTTTCCCAGGAGGCATATTGCTATATGACCTACCAGTGTTCAGAGCACAGACTCAGCATTCTTTCTGCAGCCGGATGTACAGAAATTTCTTTGCCATTAATAAAGCATAGTTCATAATTTTGCATTCTGTCAGTGATACTGTGTGAGAACCATAAGCAAATATGTTTCATTCTGCATACTTTGTGCTCGAAGTAATTACTACGCCTTGTGAGTGCCATTACTCTTTTTAGAATATCTGATGTTGATGTTTCCATCTGTGGTTCAAGCTGCATGTGGTTCCTTGAAAGCAAACCCTTTGTATTAATTCCTTCTAAACCTAAAAGTTATCTGTAGCCTGGCTATTTTTTCTTATACTGGAATATATGTGTTAACTCAAAAATAGTACTAATACTGAGCAACTGTGCTGATGCTTATATTGGTACACCTTCACAGAATGATATCTACTGGTTTACACAGCTGAGGCTTGGTTCTATTATTTTTGCAATTAGGTAATGATTAGCAAGAACTCATCCAGGAAAGAACTAATGAATGTCAGGTTGGAAATTAAGCTGAAATAAAAGTTTCTTCTCTCTTACCAATTTGAAAATACCTGCATGTTTGAAAGCTTTGTTCTAATATTGTTATAGTAGAAAAAAGTGCAATTGTAGATGAAAGATTTACTGTTATTATTAAATGCTGTCATAAAAAGATGTCATTCTCTTCATAAAATCAGGCTGTATATAATCAGTTTTTGAATTCTCTTAAAGGCTCAGAACACAAGTCAGAATATGCCCTGCTTGCTCTTGGCCTGGTAGTTCATGACCCTGGTTTCATATGAAACGGTGTCAAACTCAATAATGTTTTCTGCTACAACTCGTGGGAACTCAGCTAAAATATCTAAATATTTTAACAGGAATTGACTGAACATCTTCAATATATTTTTAGATATGTTTTTGGCAAGATAAATTACTGCTTTCAGTACTTCTTTCTATGAAAATAAATAATTTCATATTGACAGAAGGCCTATTTCATATTAAAAAAAATGTTGGGAAACAGTGCATTAAAAATGGAATTTTTTTTCCCTTGCAAAGAAGAGGTGATTGTTAACTTAAACTAAGTAAACAATTTACATGTTATCATTAATGTGGTTGTTTTGTAAGCCCCTAAATAGTATAAATTATAGTGCATTTGAAGTGAATGTTTTAGGAGCAAAAAGTAAAAACTGCAAGCAATAAAAATACTAAATTCAATTTTAAAGCAGTTTCCTTTAATCTTAGTCCACTGAGATTGGACTTGCTTGGGAAAGATGTTTTCTCCTATGTCAGATGTTTTTTCAAGTATGAATGTTAGCAATATTTGGATCCTTCATCAGCATACCTGTTTGACATAGAAAAGAGCCTACTGGGCTCCATGACTGGGACATATGTCTATTTTGAAAAAGATACTCATTTTTACAAAGGTTAACCAGGTGTGATTGGAATTAAATTCAAGTTGACAATGCTCTAAGGCACTTCATTTGATTTTGCCCTTTATCAACTTATGAATCCTGTTTAGAAAGCAGGAACACATTGCAGAATGCTGTGAATGTGGAAACACCAATTTTCAAATAGTGAGTACCCAAATTGGCAGTTGCAACAAAGAGCTTCTAAGTACTACACAGATGAAATGGATTTAAATGAATTGTTCGCCAGATAATTTTGAATAGGGAACACTTTTGGGAATATCAAACATTTCATGGACATTTGATAAAGAGAAGGAACGCATTCTAAGAATTTGAATTGCTTCTGAGTGGGTACTTTGAGCCATGAAAAATTTATGTTTGGTATCCTTGTGGACAAAGTATCTTTCAAATAGGAATTTCAAGTGTTCCAAAACATAGAAGAATATGCTTGTTTAGTATACACAAGTGTTATTGCTCAGGTTTTGTTTTAAAGTAAAGTTTGCTAGCTTTTCTATGGCAATGCTTGTGCATCATCCATTGTGTACATTAACCACATCTATATTTTATTTCTGTTTCACTTGCACTTTTTGGCAGCTTGAAAATTTCTAACTTATCTTAAAGTTTCATTAGGAAATATCTGCAGGCTACAAGCTGATAGTCAGAAATAAGAGGAGCCCTATCATTCTGACCTTATCAGGCTGCTGTGGACAATTTTTTTTTCTACTGGCAGTACTTGATACTTTTAATCTGATGGTTTTTATATTAAAATTTAGCATATCTACTGAAAAATCAAAGCTGTCTTGAAATAAGAAATGTTAAACTAAATAAAAATTTCCTTCTATTATATAGCATGTGTTTAAGGGTTAGCAAGATAATAATTGAGATATTCTCAGCTGCCCTGATAATAATTGAGATATTCTCAGCTGCCCTATGGGTGTTCTTAAAGGATTTCTAGTTATTGGCATGCCTTTTTCACTATAGTGATAATACAGTACATATGAGTCCTTTTCACAGAATTGTGTGGTGGTGGGTCTATAATGAAATGCATAAAACACCACACAGTTCCTTGAATGGAAGGACAGCTGTATGGGAATGACTGCTAACTGAGGTGTACATTTGCAAGAGCATATTCTCAAATTAGTGGGCTTGTTTCACTTGAATACTCAAAATTAACATGCAAGGGTTTGGTTTTTTGGGTTTTTTTTAATAAATTAAACACATGTAAACCCATTTAATACATTTTAAAACAAAAGCAGTATTAACATGAGTTTCTTTATGTAGAAAATCAGTTTCAATTGAATTCACCAACATCAAGATTTTTCAAAGATATTCTGTTTGTCAATTTTAATTTTTTTTTGTAATTCATATTTCAGCAAACAACACATGCTTTGGAAGCATGTTCTGATAACAGTGTTGATAACACGTGTCTGTGTCAAGGACAGATATTTCAGATGCAGTTGAATAAGAAGCATGAGTGCATCTAAAATGCATTCTGTGTGGCATTTCCTCCACACTCTGTGTGGCATTATGCAACATACCTTTATAGCACCTCCTCCATGGTTGTTAGAAGAAATTGCCAACAAACATTGTCATAGGGCTAGAAAGAGGAAGAAAAATGCCATGTTGCTGTTGCTTGCTTAAGATTTTAGCCGAAAGCTAAAAATCCTGAATCATATATTTGAGTCCTTTCTATGACTGAGGAAAATTTTGTGTATGTGAGAAGCTTGAATATGGATTTTAATGTCTGCGTGATGCCACTGATTTCAGAAAGATCACCTAGTAAAAAAGACTGGTTCAAAACATTTCTTCCAAAGGATGAAAACATTTTAATATCAAAATTTACTACCTTTGTTTTTTGATTTTCTTTGTAGTTTTCATGTGCTAGTTGTTTTCTAAAGTCAACAGAAAACTAAATAGAGAATCCCAAAATGTGATTTCACATATATAATATTCTAATAAATCTTTACTAGAGAGGAAATTTACATCAGTCACAGTAAGTACAATAGTACATTTTGTTGAAAAATATAAAAATAATGTAAATTTACTTTATATCTTACTACAAAACCATGTAAATGTATATTGGTCAGCATCAAATTTTAAAAATCCTGAAAATACAACCAAGGAGGCTAATATAGTACAAAGAGTGAAGTGATGTGACATTTACAAAATATTTTTTTTGTTTATTCAATACTGAAAAAAGATGTAATTTTTTTTTTTTTTTACTTTTTATAAGCTTTTTATTTATCTTTCCTTTTGTTATGCTATCTCCAAACATTAGATGCTTTTTTAGTGCACTAATGACTTTTAAGGCTTCAATTTTGAGGTGCTATTCCATAAGACATCCGTAGTTAGTCTAGAAGTACTTCAGTAATCCTCCAGTTTGGTTCAGGAGAGCTCCGCTTTTAAGTTAGTTCAGTTCTGCATCTGTTGTATACACTGATTCTCTAAATTTCTTACCAGGCAAAACTGAAATTAAGTAGGAAAAATATCTTGATTTGATGGATAACAGAAAATGTTTTCTAATTGGATTAATATTTTTTCTCTTTGTCTGCATAAAGAGGTTTTGAATAACGGAATTCAGGAAAGGAAAGCTTTGTGCTGTGTTGCTGAGGTAGTGAGCAGGAGCGAGTGTTAGTAAGACATGTGAATGCAAGTGATGTATTTTGTCCAGTAATCCATGCTGGACATCTGATCTGTGTTGTATAACTACATATTAGAAGGAAGGATGGCTGGTAAAATTAATTTAAAAATGTACAAAACACCTCAAAACTATCAGTCACATTCATTTTAGTATTCAAGTGGTGATGTTATGCCAGGGACAGTGAAGTTAATTTTTTAAATACAGGCTACCAATTTTTCAATAATAACAAAATTTTTCAATAACTAATACTGAGATTAGGCACTCTGAACCTTTTTTTACATAATTGATATCATAAATATATGTTCTGCAATTTATTTTCCTCAGCAAAATTTTTCCTTTTGTTATCGTCGTTACTTACCTCAGAATATTACCCATGATAAAGTTTAGTATTCCAAATTCATTACCTTACAGGAAGACAGTGGTTCTGTTACATAGACAAAAGGCAGGAAACAATCCTACAGCAACACAAAATAAAGCACAAGAAATATCAGGTTTACCTTAATGTATCATATATTATCCTAAAATGTCTGTTTATCTTAAAACTACAAGAGCTTTGCTGTATCAGAAAATATGAATGAAATTATATTACAGCAATTACTGTAGGAAGGTGTTGCCTTAAAAAATTAACAACCCCCCCCGCCCCCAATACCTGTCCTTTACTAACAGAACCCTTTTTTTTTATATTACTTTAAATTTAATATTTAAGCATTTTTTCTAGCCAATTTCCTCAGTTCCAGAACTTTAGTCTTTGTAGTTTATTTCAACACTTCCTCTGGATTCTTTTTTTTCCATATTTCATGTACTACATTATGTCTTTTTGTGTTTCAACAGCTTTTTTTATGAGTGCCAAATTTTAATTTAGGTTAGAATAATTCAGCTGCTGTACCAAAGATTTAAGTTCATGACTTAACATTAGGCTCACTATATAGTAATATTTCTAATAATATTTCTGTCATTCAGAAATATATCAGGTCACCATTATCTGCTGGTCCACAGATGTAAATTTTATATATTTTACATAAAATTTATGAAAAATTAAGTTAGAGGAAGGTTATGCTGTGTGGGAGTGTAATATTACACTTGATGTGCTGTATGAACTCCAAACAAAGAATCAGATTTTCCACAATAAATAATAAAACCTTTAAAAAAAGGATGGCAATTTAAGCCGCTGAGATTACAGACATATTTTTCATATGTTGTACCTGTGTAGTTATTTCCAAATAACACAATCAGAATGCAGAGGAATTACAGAAGTCAAAGAAGAAACTGGGTGCACTTCAAGCACGTGTTGCTGTCATTGGTTCTCTGACACTGTACACACAAGTGTAAGAGAAACAGCTGGCTTCAGCCATACATCTTCATCTCTTACTTCACTACCTCCCCCATATGCTTTATAAATCTTACCATCTCTCTGTGCCTTGTGTCAGTTTCTTCTCCACTCTTTCTCCATTATCTTGTAACCTAGGGAAGCTGAAGAGGAGCAGGGGTGATCCTTAGGGCTTGTGCACGTCATTGAGTTTTTCTGGTTCCGTCCCTTCTGGTATCTTTCTGCAGTCATCTGCACTAGGGCTGTCAGGGAAGGGAGCCAGGAGGGCAACTGTCATTGTGAAACCAACTGTCCCATCCCTTAAATTAGAGACTGTGTTTCCCATAGATCTCATTCCAAAAAGTCCATGTTTGCAAAAAACTATCTGCTAGATTTAGGTTTAATAGAAAAACTTATCCCTGGAGAAAAATGCAAACTTCATTTTCCATGTAGTTAATAGAACTAATGTATCCTGTCAGGTGTATTCTTTCTGAATACTGTTTTTCAGTCGCCACCTGATTCCACTGATTCAACTGGATCAACACTGAGAGAACAGACATGCATCTTTCTTATCAGGAGACAAAGGACATACATATTGTAGAAGTTGTAATTCTGGATAAACTCTTTAATGCTAGACAGACTCAGGTGCAGTATTGCCTATCTCCGCGCACCTTTTATATTTGAAGATTAAAAAAAAATATACTCAGGATTACCCATAGATATTTTCTCATATAGTTGCTTTTGCAGTACCTGTCATCAGTTTTTTAAAGTGATTTAGTATTTCTGCATGGAATAAGTTCACAGGATGGAAAACAGCCTAATAGCAATGAGATTATTACTTAAAATATGATTTTTAGAATAATAAATTACTCCTGTTATCAAATATGATTGAAAGATTGAGATCATCATTGTTTTCATCATGTACCTGCATAGCATCTCTCAAGCCAAACCTTATGATTTGGGAGCTTATGCTTCAGATTATTTCCAGTGGCAATATTCAGTGGTGTGGGTGAGGAAGAGCAATACTGTGGGCATTCCAAAGCACAAGCCAATCAGTCTGAAAATGTCCTTTTAGAAAGAATCAATCAAATCAACCAAACCAACTGGGTTTCATGGCTGTTGTTCATTCAAATAGTACGTTAATTTCATATTTATTTTTCTGTTACATGACTGATTTAAGCTGAAAGGGCTTTACTGTTGTGAAGTTGTGATGTGTTGACTCTGGCCTGGAAACAGGAACGCACCAGCTGCTCACTTATTCCAGCAGTTTGAGGAACAGAATTGGAAAAGCGAAAGTGAGAAAAATTAGTGGGTCAAGATAAATAAAATTTAATAAGTGATGGAAATCAAAGAAGGGAAGAAAAAAAAAAAGGATGATGTAAAAGCAATTATTCACCACTTCTGACCTGCAGACCAATGGCCATTTCTGTATCCTCTCCAAAGGGATATTCTGTCAATCAACATGGCATGTTTCATGAATTGCATTTCTGAAAGAAAATGTCCATGCCAACCTTCTCACTGCAATTTAAGTTATTCATACAAACCTTCTCTCAGAAAGTAATAGGCATTTAATTTCCAATTCCAATGATCTACAAGGTCTTTTGGTGGTCTTGTTTCTTCCAGCTTATGTACTAAGACCAATAATTTCTATCTGGCCTATGCTAGAAGCAGTATAGACTGCCATGCTGCCTTTGTACTTTTACTTGAAAATGTTGCTGCTTATAAAATTTAGCATTTAAGATATCTTTCAGTATTTAAGATATATATTCAGTAAATTTCTTTCAGTATATTAGACCAATTTTTCACTTCAAATCCAGGGTAAGATGAAAGGAAAAATAAATTTCAGTGTGGAGATCAATCTGCTCACTGGAAAACATTAAAAATCTTCCAATTTCTGAAAATATTACAATAGCTGACCTCAATATTTTCTTATTTTATGAATTAGAAGACTGTTTTAATATGTTATGACTGTTTTGAAATAGATCTGAATAGATCTGAAACTTTAGATGCTTTTCTGGTTAGTCTAATTTGCCTTCCATAAACATTCAGTCAGTGTCAGCGAATGCTGTAAAGGTTACATGAAGCCAAAAGAAAGAGTGTGAAATTACATTTAATCAAATTAGTCGAAGCATTAATAGGGTGAGAATGATTAGCTTTATACCCTAGCTGTATTTTGAGAATCATATTAAAACTAGTATGTACTATCAGACTAAATCTTTGGAGTGAAGGATTGCACTGTGCAAGAAAATTTCTTGATAGAATGGCACACTGTATTGCCTCTTTAGCCTCCTGAATCCATGAGATTTAAGATAACTCCATGAAGTCCTCCCAGTAGCTCAAAAATTTAAGGATGTTAGATGGTCTACTTAAGGTTGAGAGCATTATGAAAGATATTTCCAATGCTACTTTACCGGGCAGTTCAAGAATCTCTTATATTTATTTAGAATCCTGCACAACAATCCTACACAATTTGGAGAGAACCAGTTTAACCAGGTGGAAGCCAGTCATTTGATAATAACTCAGCAGTCATAGCAACAGTCTCCCAGCCGTGGCAAAGAATTTCTTTTTGTTATCTTGCCTCAAAATACAACCTAAGAATCATTAGCTAACTTCAGCATCTGTATAAAATAGTTAATAGAGAAATGAAAGATTTGTTGGGTTTTTTTTTCCAAGATCTACCACAATATTAAAAATAAGTATGTGATGCAAATCCAGATGCAGAATGATTGTTTAGGCTGTAATTGTTTGCAATGACAGAAGTCCTTTTTCTTGAATTATGTCAAATTTTATTTTAAGAAACATCTTTCCATTTACAAATGCTGTAAAAAAAAATCCTATTTTGTTTAGGCTTATTTGTGTATATAGATATGTATAGGTATATATGTATGCATATATTTTAATTTAGTTTATTTATTATTTTGGTCTTGAATAATGATTTTTTTTCACCAGAAGCAGTTACTTTCTTCACCATTTGAAGCAAGTATTTTATTTTCACTAATTTTGCATGATGGGTGTCCTGTTACTTGATACCTGTAATTCCTAAGCACAGGCATATGATCCAATTTTCGAAAGATTGATTTTCAGTTCAGACTGGTCATCTGCCACTGCTGAAACAGATGATAATTTCTGAGTCTCAATATGAGCAATAGGGAGGGAATAACCTTAACAAATTTTTAAAGAGGACTTTTTTAATAGATTTGCTTTAAATTTGGAGTCTACAAAATAGTGTTTGATAATATATTGCCAAGATGCATATTCAAGTTACTGAACTTGTTTCTGAAACATTTATGATAAACAGTATCAACTGTTGTGAATCCTCATTGAATTAAAAATGAGGTTTTGTGCTTAAAAATATCCAAAATAACAACCTTCTTGTAAGACAGGAATAATTTTAAAGGTCATCAAGTTTAATTCAGGTTCTTTTGCTTTATTTCTTTGAATGCACTAAGCATTTTCAAAGTTCTGGTAAACTGTGAGCTATAATTTTTTAAATTTAAATTTTAAATTTAATTTTAATTTTAAATTTTTAAAATTTAAATAGATGGGTTTACGTGGCATGTATTTGGTAGCGGGGAGCCGGGTGACGACAGAAGGGCTTCAGAGAGAAGCTGCCAGAAGCTTTTGCAGTGTTCAGTGGAGACAAAGTCAGGCGGCACCAGCATGGAACTGCTGCAGGACAAAGCTGAGCCCATCAGCAGCGTCGTTAGCACCTCAGTGACAACAGAGTGAAGAAAGGGGAAAAAAACGCTCTGCAATTACAGCTGTAGACAGGAGTGAGAATAGGTGCGAGCAGCACCTTGGCAAACACCAAGGTCGGTGCAGAAGCAGGGAGGGGAGGTGCTGCGGGCGCCAGAGCTGAGATTCCCCTGCAGCCCGTGGTGAGGATCATGGGCAGCCCGCCCCGGAACAGGGGGTGCCTGAAAGGGGCCGTGAGCCCGTGTCCTGGTCTAGAGAAAATCTGGGAGAAAACCTCCGAATGGGGTCCTTCTGGAAAACTAATTTTAACGGCCCCACCTCCAATTGGTTCCGGAAAATATTTCCTTAGAGAAAAGTGGAAAAAACCTGTTTATTTAACAGAAATGGAATAATATTAAACAATAAAACCTCTCGCTGTTGGGTGAGATGGCAAATCCAGAAAGTCCTTGTTGTGGGGAGCAGCTCGGCTCACTCAGTCCCTTATCAGTCCTTTCGGCGCTGGGAATTGCCGAGGCCCAGGCCCCGGTGGATCACAGGCCTGAGCTCCTGGGGTTTGCCTGGGTTTACAGTCCAGAGCAGGTTTGAGATCCAAGAAAAGGAAAAAAAAACAGTCCGGGGAACTTCCCTGCCTCAGCTAGCTAAAAACTAACAGCACAGGAGAGCTCTGTCCCGCTGTCGGGTCCCGCTGTCTGTCCATGCTGCAGACAGCACAGTCCAGGAGCAGCATGTGGGGCTGTGAGGGCTCTTTCTCAACACAAACTGCGGCTTCTTCTTCCCCCTTAGCTCTCAGAGCCAGTCTCAAAGGTGCAGAGCTTAATATGTAACATCAGCAAGGTGATTTGGGATACAAGCATCATAAATTCCCCCCAGGACACCCCGTGGGAAGCCCCTGGCAGGGCCCTGGAGAGAGCAGCCCACACTGGAGCAGGCTCCTGGCAGGACTTGGACCCCGTGGGGGACCCGCACTGGAGCAGTTCCTGAAGAACTGCAGCCTGTGGGAAGGACTCGAAATGGAAAAGTTTGTGGAGGACTGTCTCCAATGGGAGGGACCCCACACTGGAGCAGGGGAGGAGTGTGAGGAATTCTACCTCTGAGGAGGAAGGAGCAGCAGAGACAAGGTTACCTGACAGAAAACCCATTCCCTGTCTGTGGTGTGGCCTAGCAGGGAGGAGTTGGAGAATTTGGGAGTACAGTTTATCCTGGAGGAAAGTAGGAGTGGGAGCAAAGGTGGCTTTTAGTATTTCCTTTTGTTTCTCATTATCCTACTTTAATTTGCTTGGTTAGAAATTAAATTCATTTCCCAAAGCCAAGTCAGTTTTGCCCATAACAGTAAGGGCTGAGTGATCTCTCCCCACCCTCATCTTGATTCGTGAGCCCTTCATTATATTACCTCTCTCTTGTCCAGCTGAGGGGGAGAGTGATACAGCAGCTTTGGTGGGCACCACGCATCTAGCCAGAGTCCATCCACCATGTAATATTATCATATTATTTTAACAATTTTTTTAAAGCAATTTTTAAGCCTCCCCCCCTTTTTTTTTTTTTTTCTGATCATTAATCTTTTGTTATTTACACATCTTACATTTTCACCAAATCTTAAAGATGCCATTTAATTTTTTGCACACACAATTTTAATTTTGTTAAACTAGCACCAGAATTAGCATTCTAGAAGACTCTAATGCAAAAATTTATTTACCTTCATCAAAGTAAGATTAAAAAAATATTCCCTAGATTAGGAACATCCATCAGTGATTTATTTAAGAA